CTGGATGGTTAGCCCCTTACTGTGGAATGTTTCACCTGCCCCAGGGCTGCTCTGAGGCAGAGTTCGACCTCTCCCCCACCTACTCCCAGCCACAAAAGCATGGAGGGTGGAGAAAGGCCTGTGCAAGGACTGGCAAATGTCCAGAACCACAAGATGTAGAAGAAAGGGGACCACGCTTGTCATCTGAGTCTCTGCCAGACCTCTGAGTGACCCAGGAATAAGTCACCTGAATTCTCTCGTTCCATCTACAAAATGAGGAATACCTATGCTATGCACCTCATAAAATGTTAAAATAGGTTGACATAAGGCATGTGAAATATGAGAAATTTTGAGAAATATAAAGTACCATAAAGGTTTCATTAATGGCAGGGTTTGCATTAGTTTAGCTTTCCCTAGAGTTAACAGAGGTTACATAAAATAAAGGTTCTATTATCCAATTAATTTAGCAAATGCTCAGTTAAGAAAATATGTCCAGTTTCTGTACCTAGGATAGCGGTTCCCAATCCTATCAGGCACATAGAGCCCTTGTTATAAACACGTATCTTTGTAACATCTCTCTCACCATCCTAAACAAATTCATAGTTATGTCCTACACAAATAGAATATCCAGAAAGCCAACAACAACATATTTTTTATACGTAAATGTTTGGGACTGCCTAAACCAAAAGACGTAAGTAGTCAGATACTTGCATCTATCATGTTGAAGAATCATGGTGAATATGACAGCTACTCACTGTGGAATGTTTCACCTGCCCCAGTGTACAGAGTTGTGCTGTATCAGCGACTCAATTACATGCAGTGGCATTTGCTCATAATGTGCTTTTCTGAAATAGTAAAAACAATTATTTGTAAAGCTCCAAACAAAATGAAATCCAACCTTTCCTTGACTTATACGGCCATTGTATTCCTAAGACATTCAGTGTCTACAATGATAAAATCACAACTACTTTGTGCTTATACATAAAACAGCTAGGCCAGAAGCTTAATGATGAACAGATTTTCAGCTACATGACAACAGGTACAAGTATAAGTCCCAGGGAGCGAGGAACAACTCTTGCTTTTATGGGACTGTCTGTTTACTGCAGTCTCTCTAGCATCCATGTCCTCTTGGCCAATCAGGGCAACAAAAACACTTTCACAAATTAATAATTTATAAAACATCCCCAAGGGGGCAGTATCACTCTATTGAGATTCACTGCATATAAGGCTTCAAAGAGTCTTTAATGTGATAATGTGAAGACAAAAGTAGCTTGCCAATGCTTAACCATAGCATACAATTTCCCCCAAGTAGCTTGTGGAAAGACTATAGTTTCACTAGTCACACTTTGGGACATACTGGTAGTAAGCATTTTTAAGAGTAGGTCAAACAGTGAAAGCATACAGAGTACCCACCACAAATGACACCAGTAAGGAGGAGCTGGAGATATGTTTTCCAGGGATGAAAAGCCTGATGCTTGGATGAGTCTTTCAATGTTATCAATAATGCGGAAAGGATATCCCCCAGATGATGAGAGGGAGCTCATAGAAACTTTCCAAAGATACTCAGCACAGACACAGAGCCTGACTCATTAGTGCCATTCAGGATAAATGGTATTAAAGTTTTATATTTGGAATCCAGGCTGTTGCTTGGAAGTCACTTTTATGGTCCTGGAACATATTACTTCATAAATTTATTCTTCAAGGGCTATAAATTCCTCTATGCCCTTTTCCCAAAAGGAAATGGATTTATAGATCAATCCAGTGAATGAGGTGGATAATGTTGGCTATTCTTTTCATTATCAATTCAATATACAAAATTACAGCAATGAAATGTTTATTTCTGTTATTCCTCCAAACCTGCAGGTTTCATAAGCACTGAAAGATGTTTAAATTGGAGGCAAACCTGGCTTTAACTCAAAACCTAATGATTATTAAAAAAAAAAAAAAGCCCCACTATTCAGGGTCTAGTGAGGCTAAAAATGTTCCCATTTCTACCCCAAGTGAAAGAAATAAACTCTAGCAAATAATTAGATCAATGCTAGTTAGAGGAATCAGATAAATGCTATTATAGGACCATAGAACCTTAATTACATTGTCAATATATTTTTATCTCAACAGATTTTAAGATAAGTGTGAGAACAATTCTTCTAATTTTCCTAAGTATTTATCATGCATTGGTGCCATCTGGTGGACATTTTAAACTAAACTTAAAAAAATGATTGTTTAAAAAAAATTGGGGGCTTTTCCCCCTCGCTTAAAAAAAAAGTAGGAAAGCACATTTTTGTTATTTTGCAACATACTTTTCTTATAGTTTCTGTAATTTGGGGACCAATGCATCAGTTCTATCAGCCTAACTGAGGTCACTTACCACATGGCCATACCTCATCTTTATGCACATTTATGAATGGATTAAGTTACCACTTTATTTGTAAAATAAATACTTAACAGTACTTGAGAATCTGATAAAATGAGTGAAGATATATGCAATGTCTAAAATCAACAAGGGCTACTTACACAAGACATTTCAATAGAAGAGAAACAAAGCAAAGACTATATACAAGCACTGATCAGTGATATGAAAGGATCCTCAGCATGTTATCCAGTAGTTAAAATGAGATATCACTTTACGCCTATTAGGGCAAAAATTATTTTAAAAGTCTGATATTAGCAAGCGCTAGAGAAAGTATGAACAGAACCCCCAATATTACTGGTAGGAAAGAAATCTAGCAGTACTTAATGAAGTATGTGTGCAAATATCCTACAACCCAAAAATCACATTTCTACGTGTAACACATTACCCCAAGATTTAGAGGCTTAAAATGACATTTATCTCAACGTTTCTGTGGGTCAGGAATCCAGATGTGGTTTAGCTGGGTGCCTCTGGGTCAGGGTCTCTTAAAAGTCAGCAATCAAGGAAGGGTCAGCAGAGGCTGCAGTGTTCTCCGGGATAAATGGGGAAGTGCCAGCGTCCAAGCCCACTCAGAGCTGTTGGCAGGCGTTAGAACTCTGACCTCACTGGCTTTAGGTCAGAGTTCCCTGCCACGTGGACCTTTCCAGAGGGCAGTTTAAAACATAGCCCTCCGCTTCCTCCAAAGAGAACGAGAAACAGCAAGAAAAACAGAAGTCACAAATCTTTAGTAAAAAACTAACCTTCGATGTGAGATCTCATCATATTTGCCATATTCTATTCATCAGAAGGCAATCACTAAGTCCAGCCCACATTCAAGGGAAGAGATTAAACAAGGAGCATGCAGATAGTAACTAAACTTACTGTGGTGATCATTTTGCAATGTATACAAATGTGAATCATTATGGTGTATATGTGAAATGGATATAATATTGTATGTCAATTATACTTCAAAAGAGGGGACATGAATCACTGGGAGCCATTTTAGAGGCTGCCTACCACACTGGGTATACACCTCAGAAGCTCTCAACAGATCAACAAAAAAGGGATGAAACTGTTCATTGCAGTATTGTGTGGGCATGGGTGACAAAGAGGAATGGGCATGATGATTTGCATGGGCCAAAATCAATATGCCATGAAATGAGTATAATCAATTCAATTCTGTGACTCTAAGGGCATTAAAAACAAAGGCCAAAAGACAAGGAGGAAAACAAATGTGTCCCTGGCCAGTTTGGCTCAATGAATAGAGCGTCAACCCTCAGACTGAAGGGTCCAGGGCTCAATTCCAGTCAAGGACATTTACCTGGGTTGCAGGCTCAATCCCCTGCCCTGGTTAGGGGCGTGTGTAGGAGGCAACCAATTGAACAGCATTGGGGGGAGGAGTGGGGAGAGGAAGATGGGGCATAGGCAGAACCTTTGGTAAGTGAGCCCAGCCTGCCTCTAAGTGCAGCAGCAGGTCAATTAAGGGCTGCAGCACCTGCAGCTTCTCATCTCTGGGTGTCACCCCCTCATCTTCCTTTTTATTGCTCCATTCATCTTCCTTTTTGTACTTTGTCAGTACAGAGAATAAAGACCATCTGAAAAAACTGCCTTTCTATTAACCTCATAATAGGACCCACAATTTTAAACAACTAAATTCCCATTCCAGAGCAGAGTGATTCAGAGATGGTTAAGTACTTGCTTGAGGGTCACAGCTGGGATCTGAACCCAGTACATCTGGCTCCTGAGCCTATGGGCTTAACTACATTCTATACTTCCTTTCACACACATATATTTATTTCCCCATGATGTCATATAAAAGAAAGAAGTGTGACAGCATGGTAAAGATAGCTAAATAATGCCAGCAGTCCTTTTATTTTGTATCCTCATGCTTAGAAAGAGGAAATGTGAAAAAATAGTTATACAACAAAGTAAACGTTCCTTGGGCTAAACATACAGATCAAGTAATTGAAAGGATAAATTAAGAGTCCAAACTCTAGCACTGATTCAGTACTGACCAGATAGATGTGTCCCAGCGTACAGCCTCAAGTTCCAGGTTCTGCTGTGGCAAGCAATTAGCTTGATGCTGTTTAACATCGGAATTACACAAGCAACTCTCTCCCTCAATTGTTTCCTGGTTCGATTGACTTTTGCCTATAAAACAGCAGTTTCCAGTGCAAATCTGGCTCCAAAGAAGGCAATTAATCATACTGATGTAGAAATTACTCCTATCAATAAATTGGGTTATCCATCAGCTTCCTGTGAAATTCACTAATACCAGCATTCCCAAATTGTAGCAACTCTGGAACATCACAAGAGTATTTTGAGACCCACAGCCTATTCACTATACTCTAAAATGGCAGATTTATCAAGGCTTTATAGCTGTGCAACTCCTGACAAACAGCTTTTCTCTTAGCTATATTGCTGCACCTGTCACAACCTATTTCAACCGGTAAGTGACATTACTTAGAAAGACATGGCATCCATAAGAGAAGACTACAGATTAATGGCCAACTATATTTTTCAGTGAAAAAAATCATGACAAATGCTTAAATAATGCAATTCCAGTTTGGAAAACTACATGAGATATTGTCATTTAAATATAACACTGATGCAATCACTTCAAGGACACAAAGAAGGGGAAAATGTTTTTATTTTCATGCTTTTTAAAGTCTTTACATAGAACAAGTAAACACAGACCACAAGTGAAAACTTTAAATATGGAAACAGAAAACAAGCCATACAGAAAGTTAGGCCTTTATTCATAATTTCAGAATTAAGAAGTTCGATCTTTAAAAAAAAAAAGGAAAATGTTCCATTCAGCACTTACTCAATTTCCTTTGTTCGTGGTATACCTAGAATTTTTAAATTAGCGCTTAGACTGGCATATTTAGTAAGTATGATCTCGCTTACAAAAACAGGATCTTACCATTTCATTCTGAGAACACTTCAAAACCCCAGCCAGCTCTTTTCTTTCAAGGATGTGGAAGGCGTTCCTCATTCAAATCTGATTCATGGTTTTATAAAGCATGAAGATCATTCTTACTACTTCATCATCTATAAGCTGACTTCTAATATTCTTTGTGATGGTTATGTGTTCAATGATAGAAACTTATAGAGAGAGAATCCCTTCCCTCTCAATTTGTAAACCAAAATTTTAAAAGCAAAATCTTTGAAATGAAAGGAAGACATTTCAATGACATAAGCAACTACTGCCCTAAGCTGATGGCATAGGGAAAAATAACAAAGGTAATTGTTATTGAACCTTTAAATAATTAGTCTATGTTTGCTACAAATCCACAAATAATTTAAATATATTTTCTTCTAATAAACTGCCAGGTCAATTTATCAACTTTTAAAGGTGTTAATAAAAATGATTACTTTCCTCCTGAATGTCCAGTGATAAACTGAACCCCAACTTCCCTACCCCAAAAACATAAAACTGATCTAAAGTGGATCAAAGTGCATAACAAGTTCATATTAAAAATGTTTCATCATATGCTCTTTTACTAAAGCAATCAATATAAAAAGAATGTAAAAGCTTGCTTTATGCTTTCAGACTTAGGTAACCTCCAAGGAATCACAACTTTTAAGCTTTTAAACCCAGCGCAATTGTTATGTAAAAATACTGTGTAAGAAAAAAAGTGAACCAATCAAATCCTACAGGTAAAATAGCCTAAATATCAGTAATAGGAGTATTCTCCATAATCTTTTATCTAAAATTTCTAAGCCATCCATCTTTTTCAATGCTTTGAGAGGGCAATCAAAATAGTCCTATTTATTTAGGTTTAAAACTAAGTTTCTCCTCTCTAAGTATGAAGGCATAAATGAAATAGAAAAGGTTCTTTTATCCAACATCCTGAGCCTACAGATATGGAAACCATCCACAACATTATCTCATTATGTCATCATCGAGGCACCTTCTTCCCCCGTAGCATCTTGAGAAATGTGAAGGTCTTCAAGCATCTCAGCCAGACTAATTCGAGGTGCTCCCTCATCATCTGTGTCACTTTCCACAGGAATGGTGGAATCTAAGAAAAAAACACAAGGAGATTTCAAATGAATACAAATACGGAAATACGCAAATACCAGCCCCTACCATCATTACTATTATTTAACCATATTATATCCACAGCTCTTATGTCATATCTAGAGCAGACATTCAAATATTCATTGAATGACTGAGCTGCATAAGTATATGAATAAATATCTACTAGTATAGGGGTCAACAACTTGAGAGATCATCCTAGGATGCAAATGTGATGTAGCAAACATTTTAATAAGATTTATTGTTCCACAAGTTTTTTTTTAAATAACACACAATAAATAGTTTAAAAAACACACAATAAAAGTCATTTATAGAATCAAAGTTTAAGGTACTGTAATACTCACTGTGGGGGAATACATCTATATAGTATAGAAGACACAAAACACTTAAACACCAACCTCTGTAAATGTTTACATTTTTTCTAATTGCCTCATCTTCTTCAAGATCTTCAAGGAAATCTTGGTATTGCCTATAGAAGAAGAAAGAAACATTTAAATATTTCATCTTTACCAAGAAAGTATAAAGTCATATTTTCTTCATTTTCACAAGTATAAGGTAAGTGTGTTACAAGTATTACAATCTTTAAAATAATATCTGATTTTCAAATATGCATGTTAAATATTCTGATGAGTTTTTTTAAAATTTTTCTTTCGCCTGGCCAGTGTGGCTCAGTGGTTGAGCATCAACCTATGAACCAGGAAGTCATGGCTCAATTCCTGGTCAGGGCACATGCCCAGGCTATGGGCTCGATCCCCAGTAGGGGGCATGCAGGAGGCAACTGATCAACCATTCTCTCTCACCATTGATATTTCTATCTATCTCTCACTCTCCCATCCTCTCTAAAATCAACAAAATATTTTTTTAAAGTTTTTTCTTTCAAAATTTCATATATACTTTTAAGACTAGAAATGAAATAGTCAAATGCATACTTACACCTACTTAATTTATGATTACATTTTTAATACATATTTTAAATTACATGAGAATGTTTTAGAAATACTGCTGTTTCACACACACTTAATGACACAATTTTATTTAAACTCTTCATTTTTTTAGATATCAATGTCTTTACCATTAAGGCCACTTTTCAAATTATCTAATACACTTTACTAGAACATAATATCTTCATTTCTCCTTACGTTTTTTTGAAAATAGCATATTTGATATCAATGACCCATTTTCTTTGTATCCCAGGTCATAGTACTCACTTGCTATTACTATATTTTGTCTTTTCAAATAAACTGTTTACAATAACACTGCAATTGTCAGGTCATAACCCAGGAAATAATACTTAAATCTGTGTTAAATGACATTATACTGTTATACTAATTCTATCAAACATTGGTAAGAAAAAAAAATAATATTGAGTGCAAGGATCATTGTGTGATGACTATTTCTAATATAAAAACCATAAAGATTTATCATAAGAATTTCCTTTGAGACAAACACAGGTTGAAAGAAAAGTGGGACCTTTCATCATCTGTGTCCATGTTTTCTTTATCTCTTGCAAGCTCTTTCAGTTTCCAGTTTCTACGACGCTGACGTTTGGTACGGTCATAGCTCTTCTTGATTAATACCTAAAAGAAACAAAAATATTTGCAAAGTTATACAAAATGGGAACTAGGTAACACTGCCTCAAAATCCAGCGAAAATAAAAAACAAAAGGTTATGGGAATGCCAGGAAGTCACCAAACTGATGACAGTGGTTATACCATAGGGGAAAGGAGTAGGGAGGGATTGAGAGGCAGTCAAGAGAACTTTTAATATTTTTCTGCATGTACTTATTATTTTATGAGAATGCACTCAGACATTTTTGTATAATTGTTAAAATTTACTAACATTTTTTAGTAATTGAAAAATGTTTTCCTTCATACCAAAAACTTCAGGTGTCTGGTATGTTTTTACAGCATCATTCAGTTTTTAGGTACCATTCACATGAGTCATTCTGAAACATTATCACAGGCACTTTTTCTCCCTTTTATTCCCACTAATTGCAGAACTATATATATCATTCACAACGTATGTCCTAGAACAGTTTAATAAAATTGCAGAATGAATAATTTTACACAATACAAAATCTTTTAAGACCATCATGATCTGCTTTTATGACCTACTTAGAAATACCAACTTACACCTAAGCCATGTTTCTATATCTTAATCTATTAACTAACAGAAGCCTAACTGGGTGGTGAGGAGAGGAGTCTACCTTATACTATGACTTTATTCTGCCCACAGCTAAAGGGATCAATGTTTATTTTAAAAGATTAAGGAAGCAGATCTTTCACATTTCACATTCACTGTTGCTCATGACTCCTATAAACTCACTAGCGGCCCAGCGCACAATTAAATCATGCGGTGTAGGGTCCCCTAGGCCTAGCCTGCCCTCAGGACCATGTCCGCCACCTCACGACGCCTCACATGCCTCACATGCCTCGCATGCTCCTGGGACGCTGCCGGCACACTGCGGCACCACGCCCCGCCCCGCCCCACAGTGAGAGCCACTGCTCATTTGGCCTTTTATGATATAGATGCTAGAATTTAACAGGTTTTTTTTCAAAGGTCAGATTCTTTCTCTAAGACTTACTAGTGTGAAGATCATTTTCAACTGCAATTATATTCCAACCAGAAAGAGTTTACCTCTAAATGCCTTCCTAACTGAACAATACATGAAATAAGCTGAGCCTAAAACAGCTGTGGGCAAACTACGGCCCGTGGGCCGAAATGAATAAAACTATTGAAATAAAAGACCGTACCCTTTTATGTAATGATGTTTACTCTGAATTTATATTAGTTCACACAAACACTCCATCTATGCTTTTGTTCCGGCCCTCCGGTCCAGTTTAAGAACCCATTATGGCCCTCGAGTCAAAAAGTTTGCCCACCCCTGGCCTAAAAGAATGAACCTGAATAACCTATAAAGGTCATCGACTTTAGCTGCAAATTTCTTTTTTTCCTCTATTAATAGTTATTTTGATAATTTAATTATAAGAGCAACAGAAGAACTCTTTAAATCTTGGGTTTTCCCCACTAAGAAAAATCATATGAAACAGCAACCTTCAACCTTTTTCATCTCATGGCACACATAAACTAGTTACTAAAATCCAGTGGCACACCAAAAAATTTATTTTTTGCCCATCTGACAAAAAAATAAATATATTTTTGATTCGTTCATACCAGACGGCTATTGTTGTGTTGGCTGTCATTTTTTTATTTGACAATCTAAGAGAAAAGAGGTCAGTGCATCTGACTAATAGTCAGGTATTGCAAATTTTAAAAAATCTTGTGGCATACTAGTTGAAAAGTGCTAACTTAAAATGAAGGCCTTTGCTATTATACCTTAAGTGCAATTTCAAAAGAAACCTCTAAATTGATTTGTTAGTTTTTAAAATGTGAACTTGTGCATCTTACCCATAAGAGTTACATCAATCCTCTTTAACACAAGAAAAAAGGGAAAAATCTGAAGCCTTACCACATCTGGGACTCTATCGGAGTTCATTTTGTTGACATGTTCATCATTTACGTTACAATTTGCCAAATCAAACCTGAAATGAAAATAATAAAATACTTAATGGCAAATACGTTTTCCCTTTCCATGTAACTTTTTATTTTATGGATGATCACCTAAAAGTTCTTCCTAAAATCAAACATTTAATATGCGTACCAATTTCAAAAGTTTTGCAGTGTACAAATACAGTGAACAAGCTTCTACATATCATAGTAAAGATAACAATGCATTCTATATCTGAGTTTCACATATCTATTACTGTCTATCTCACCATGTATTTGTAAAGAAGCAAAACAGAATTATATATCAATCTAAAGGACTGTTAGATTTTTCCATTCAGTTTATAATAAAACAAACAAAAAAACACCCCCATTCTCTAGTAAAACTAACTAAAACCCTAAAAGCAAAAGTAATGTTTAAGGCAAGATGATAAGCTCTGCATCAGAAAGGACTATCCTATGCCTGTAAAGGCCCTTTACATACATGGCTGCCATTTTGTAAAAGTGAAATGTCTGAGCAGCAGCATATGCATAAAAACTCCCCTCAGAAAGCTGTAAATATGATCTCACCATACAACCTCAGAGTTCAGTTACTCAAAATTTTGGAACAAATAACACTTTAAGATGACGACCAAATGGAATAAGTAAGGGCTTCTGTCCAATCCATAGTTTAATTCACTTATCAATAGTGGGAACTTTTAAATTCTTTTTGGAATAAACTTTAGAATTTATAGATAGCTTTGCTGATTCCAGAAGAAAATCTGCAATGCAAATTGACAACTGAAAATATTGTAAAATAATACAAACCCCAATACCAGGTCCCCGGGATTCAGAAGATGTCCCAAATGAGTGCGACAAAAATACTGTTTATCTGTATCCATTTCAGATGTTTTCTGTACCCAGACTTCCCCAAGGGTATGCTTAACAGGAAAGAAAATGGAACTCAAAATGCATTTCTTAGAAAACAAATACAATGATTTTGGTTTTCTAATTTTCATTTTAAAAACAGAAATTATTTTATTTTTTAGATCTTTGAAACACTGACAAATTAAGAAATTACTCTAATTATGAGTATAAAAAAAGATTCCTACAAAATTCATAAAATATTCTTAAGATTTCAGTCAAAGCTTTTATAAAATATACCAATGTCACCTAAAAACAGACATATGTAGAATTTTTAAAAAACATTTTTAAAATTAATTTTTAGAGAGAGGAATAGAGAGGGAGAAAGAAACATTGATGTGAGATCAAAACAAGGTTGCCTCCTGCACTCCCCCGCCACCAGGGAATCGAATTGGCAACCTTTTGGTGCACAGGAGGATGCCCAACCAACTGAACAACACTGGCCAGGGCCACAGATATAGAATTTTCATATGAAATGTTTTCACAGAGAGATGGGCCAATACAGACTGAGCAAAGAGAGTAACTGGAAAAATAGGGGAATCTTAAGTCCAATATTAAGCAACCCCTTGTGTTTTTTAAACATAAACTTAAAAAAAAAAAATCAGGATTATTCAGACAAAACATTCTAGCAACCCTAGTGGCCACACTACTTACTAGAGAACCTAAAACTTTATCAAGTTTATTTTTTGGATGCCAACTATTTTGAAGTGTTAACACTAAAAAAAAATTAAAAAAAAAAAAAAACCATTGCAGAAACAACATCCCAAGTTTGAAACTTTAAACTAGAAAACCAAGTCCCCTTCCAACACAGAATTTTACAAGCAATTGTAACTGACATTCAGACTTGCAGATAAGTACAGCACATGCCAAGATCTTTTACTAACAAAAACAGATCCATTAAGATCAAGAGCAATACTAAGAATTTTTGGTAAGAAAAAACTTACCAAAATTTAGAACTTACTTAGTTCTACAGATAGAACTACAGAATCTAAAAGAACTGAAAAGAAGTAGTGATAAAAGGAAAAATTGAGATTTAAAAAGTCTTAGGTTCAGGAAAGAAATTGTTTTTAAAAGAGTGAATTACCAGAAAGAGACTAAATCCTATATAACAGGATTCACTTTCTGGCTACCAGACTGCTTATAATTACAAGAGACATATGAAAACCAAAAATATATACTATCTGGTTTTATATTTGCCTAAGGAAAAGTGGTATTCTACATTTATTGTAAATGATAAAACTTTGCTCTTCCTAGTAATCTTATTACATTTTTTATTTTAAATAAAAATGTGAAGAGGGGAGAAACCAAGATGGCGGCATAGGTAAACACCGGAGTTTGCTGCCTCGAACAACCACTTCAAAAATACAACTAAAAGACGGAACGGACATCATCCAGAACCACAGGAAGGCTGGCTGAGTGGAAATCCTACAACTAGAAGGAAAGAGAAAAGCACACCGAGACTCAGAGGAGGCGCAGTGCGGAAGTAAAATACTAAGGTGCAGAGGTGCATGCGGGGTGGGCTGGCAGCTGAGGGCACGGTTGTCGTTTTCAATCGGGAGGGAGTCTCAGGCTCTGAGCTCCAGTTCCGGGTGAGTCTCTAGGGACCCAGACTCATAAGGGAGAATCGGGACTGTCTGGCATTGGTCGGAACTCGAGGGCAGCTTTCTCTCCAAGGGGCTTGCAGCGATTACTGGGACACTGAGAAGCAGAGCCTCTGAGGGCTGGACTGAGAGCAGCCATAACTGCTAGCCCCACCCTGTTGATCCCCTGGGACCCACCCCGCCCAATCCCTGCAGGGAGGCTTTTGCTGGATAGCCTCAGGCAAAAGCTAGATTAGCACCTCCTTGGAGATCCAGGAGCCAGGAACCCAGAGGTCAGAGTGGGACCATCCAGTTTGCAGCTCCGTGGAACCATAAAGGACACACTCAGGGGGCAGACTCAGTGAGCACCAAAGCCCCATTGAAGCAAGTCTTGCCCCGGAGGGGTGTCTCCAGCACAGAAGTTCTCCCACTGCAGACACAGCTGATTCTCACAGCCAATTGGCCTGGAGGTCAATTCCTCCCAGAGATAACTACAACAACCAAGGCTTAACTACAACAAGACTGTGCACAAAGACCACAAGGGGGTGCACCAAGAGTGTCCTCCTCAGGTAATTGGGGAGGCTGAAGCACTGGGTCCTAGAGGTCACTTAGCACAGAAAACCACTTTATCAACACAGGGAAGCATAAAAAATACGGAGACAAAGAAACAGTACACAAATGACAAAAATGGAGGAAAGCAAACGACTGGATATAGAGTTCAAAACCACACTTTTAAGGTTTTTCAAGAATTTTCTAGAAACTGCTGATAAACTTAATGAGATCTACAAGAAACCTAACGAGACCCTCGATGTTGTGATAAACGACCAACTAGAAATTAAGCATACACTGACTGAAATAAAGAATATTATACAGACACCCAACAGCAGACCAGAGGAGCGCAAGAATCAAGTCAAAGATTCGAAATGCGAAGAAGCAAAAAACACCCAACCGGAAAAGCAAAATGAAAAAAGAATCCAAAAATACGAAGACAGTGTAAGGAGCCTCTGGGACAGCTTCAAGCGTACCAACATCAGAATTATAGGGGTGCCAGAAGAAGAGAGAAAGAAAGATATTGAAAACCTATTTGAAGAAATAATGACAGAAAACTTCTCCTACCTGGTGAAAGAAATAGACTTACAACTCCAGGAAAGGCAGAGAGCCCCAAACAAAAGGAATCCAAAGAGGACCACACCAAGACACATCATAATTAAAATGCCAAAAGCAAAAGACAAAGAGAGAATCTTAAAAGCAGCAAGAGAAAGAAAGTCAGTTACCTACAAGGGAGTACCCATACGAATGTCAGCTGACTTCTCAACAGAAATTTTGCAGGCCAGAAGGGAGTGGCAAGAAATATTCAAAGTGATGAATGCCAAGAACCTACAAGCAAGACTACTTTATCCAGAAAAGCTATCATTCAGAATTGAAGGTCAGATAAAGAGCTTCACAGATAAGGAAAAGCTAAAGGAGTTCATCATCACCAAACCCGTATTATATGAAATGCTGAAAGGTATCCTTTAAGAAGAGGAAGAAGAAAAAGGTAAAGATACAAATTATGAACAACAAATACACATCTATCAACAAGTGAATCTGAAAATCAAGTGAATAATCTGATGAACAGAATGAACTGGTGATTATAATAGAATCAGGGGCATAGAAAGGGAGTGAACTGGCTATTCTTGGTGGGGAGAGGGGTGAGGAGGATGCGGGAAGAGACTGGACAAAAATTGTGCACGTATGGATGAGGACAGTGGATGGGGAGTGAGGGAGGAGGGTGGGGTGGGAACTGGGTGGAGGGGCGTTATGGGGGAAAAAAGAGGAACAAATGTAATAATCTGAACAATAAAGATTTAATTAATAAATAAAAAAAGAAAAAATATTAATTTTTATTAAAATGTTCTACTATTTTACTCATTTATTTCAGCCCTTTGTATTCAGCATGTCTCTATAGAAATAAACCTACATTTCTATGAAAATAAATAAATAAATAAAAATGTGAAAAGTAACCTGTCTTCCCTTTCCATTGATTTTTCCCAAATTATCAGAAGTTATTTTTGCCTCAAAACACAATATTACTTCTCTAGAAATAAGCAATATAAGCACCATTAGTATACAGAATAGGGGTATCTACGTACTAATTCATAGTAAAAAACAAACACAGATTTATATCCTTGAAGAAATACCTGATTTCAGACATAGGGTAAGAAACGATACAATGTGATTCTAGAACACCTAAACACTGTGGTGTTGTGCAGAAACTAAGGATGCTTTCAAGACTAGGAAAGTCATGTCAAAAGGACATAGTTAAAGACCTATATCTATTAAAGAAATTGAATCAATAATTAATAACTTTCTAAAACTGAAAGCACGAGGCCCAGATGGATTTGCTGGTGAATCTAACCAAACATTTCAACAAGAAATTACACCAATTCTCTACAATCTCTTCCAGAAAAAGACGGAATACTTCCTAACACATTTACAAGGGCACCCATTATTGTAATACCAGAACCAGACAAAGACATTACCAGGCACGCAAACTACAGACCAGCGTTCTCTCATGAACATAGATATAAAAATCCTCCAAAAAATACAAAAGAACTGTATATCATGACCAAGTGGAACTTATCCCCATGTACGCAAGGCTGGTTTAACCCTTTGCGATCGTTTGTCTACTCTCAGCCACCAAAGCTTTTTTACCGTTCCAGTCGTATGTCTGCTCTCAGCCACCACAGCAAGGAACCGTACAAATCTTAACTCCATTCATGTATCAGTTCATAATTTCTCTGAAAGCTCTTAAGTGTCTAAGCGACCTTGTCACGAACCAAAACATTGCCCCGACAAATCGGAGATATCGAAACTCAATATAAACAAACGCAGTCGTTCCACACTCGCCATGCAAAACACCGTGGCGAGTCAGTCGCCTTTTGAGAGTGAAGAAATCAACAAGCTTCGGAGATACTTTGCAGAATTTCAAATAAAGCTTTACAAATTACGTTTAACTGTAATTAGGCATTCTCGCTTGTTAAGATATTTCAAAATAATACTCCAAAATGGCAAAAAGAAAGTTACCGAAAGAAGTGTACTGCAAATCTGAAAGTAACGATGAAGAGTTTTATTTTGGCACCTTGAATACTGACCCTGATGTAGAAAGTGATAACGTTTGTAGTGATTCTACTAGTAGTGACGTGTTCCAAAAAAGAATTAATAAATCTTGTTTATCCTTCATAATCTTGCATGTTATGTATTACTGCTCTTTCAATGGAAATTAATTCCGACCAGTACGACACCCATGTCCAAATTTAATACGACCACAAAGGGTTAATATCTGAAAATCAATTAATGTATTCTATCAATCATACCAAAAACAATTATGATAGTATCAATACAGAAAAAGCACTTTACAAAACCCAACACACCATCCATGTTAAAAACTCTTAGTAAAGTAGGAACAGAGGGGAACTTCATCAACTTGATAAAGAATATATAAAAAACGCAGCTAATATACTTAATGGCAAGAAACTCAAAGATTTCCCCCTAAGATCAGATACAAGGCAAGGATGCTCTATCCTATTAGAAATCCTAGATAATGTAAAAACACAAGAAAAGAAAATGAAAAATATATAGATTGGGAAGGAAAAATAAAATTATCTTTGTTTGCAGATAATGACTGTATAGTATGTGGGAAATCTGAATGAACAAACAAACTACCAGAATATAGCACGGTTACAGGATACAAGGTCATAAATTAAAGACCATCACTTTCCTATATACCAACATGAAAAAGTGGCACTTGAAATTAAAAACACAATACCATTTATATTAGTACCCCCCAAAATGAAATACTTAGGTCTAAATCTAATAAAATACATATAAGAACTTTATGAGAAAAACTACAAAACTCTGATGAATAAAATAAAAAAAACAGCTAAATAAATGTAGAGAAATTCCATGTTCATGACTAGGAAAACTCTGATGGGAGGATATTAAGAATGGAGGCGGCTATGCATGTGTAGAGGAGAGGTATATGGGAAATTTCTGAACTCCTCTTAATTTGCTAAAACTGCTCTAAAAAAAATAAATAAATAAAAGCCACTAGAAAAAAAATTTTAACAAGACACTGAAACTATTCTCAAGGGGTTCCCACTGGCAAAATTTGGGGCAATCTGAGGGGAAAGAAGGAAGGAAGAAAGGGAGAGGAGGGAAGAAGGGAGGGAGAAAGGGGAAAAGGAAGGGGAAAAGGAAGGAAGCAAGCAAAGAAAGAAGTCAGGCATGCCGTAACCGGTTTGGCTCAGTGGATAGAGCGTCGGCCTGCAGACTGAAAGGTCCCAGGTTCGATTCCAGTCAAGGGCATGTATCTTGGTTGTGGGCACATCCTCAGTAGGGGGTATGCAGGAGGCAGCTGATCGATGTTGATGTTTCTATCTCATCGATGTTTCTAACTATCCCTCTCCCTTCCTCTCTGTAAAAAATCAATAAAATATATTTAAAAAAAAAAAAAGAAGTCAGGCATGTGGGAAGAGCTCAGGAGATTTACCTCAGTGCAGTGGCGGATGCAATGGCGTGAGCACACTCCGCCTATACAAGCTTCCTCGGCACACCGGGAAGTGGCAGCCCCCGCCTGAGTAAGCCCCCTAGAGCCCCCTAACTTTCCTACCATTGGTTGCCCTAAGGATGGTGTAAACTTCTGATTGGTCCAGAAAGTTATATATGTCCCTGTACTTAAACAATAAAGTTCAGACTGCGTCTTGAACCTGTCTCCGGAGTCGGGCATGCTTCGATAGGACTCCGTCGGCCTCACCCCCGTGGGACCCCCTGCCTCAAGGCAGACCAGCTAATACGGGGGGAAATTATAATATTACAATAGAGAGATCTGGCTATCAGTGAAATAGCCAACCGTTACTTCTTTCTTGATATATCATAGAAAATACACAACATCACCACTCAAAAGTTCTGGCCAAAAATAAATGTAAGCAAGCCTTTAGATCCACTTTCTCAAAGGAATTACTAGAGATTAGTAGCAAGTTAAATGACATCATGAGGAAACAATGAGAGATCCACAAGATAAATGCCCTACTTAGAAAGTTGGTATCATAAAAAAAAGGGGGGGGGGAGAGGGGCTATCACTAAATAAAAGATTTAAGAGGTATAATATTTACATTCCATGTATGATCCCCAAATTGATACTAGTTTAAATAACTTATCAAAGATACTTTAGGATAAATGAGGAAATTTTAAATAATAATGTTTATATGTATGTCTATGGTAAATGGGAACATGGGCCCCTTCCCATGCTCCAACTCCCCTTCCCACCCTGTGGGAAATAGTGAAGGCCATCTGTAAGCAGACTGTGAAACCTTGAGAACCTGACCAGCAACTCAATCTAAGAAAAGCCAAAGAGAAATGGCTTCTAGGTATGAGCCTGGCTTGTAAACAGTTACTGTTTTGAATTCATGCATGTTCCCCGCCCCTTGCATGCCCTGTTTTCTGTACTCTATAAAACCTTGTGTGGTTGCCGAAACCGGTTTGGCTCAGTGGATAGAGCGTCGGCCTGCGGACTGAAAGGTCCCAGGTTCGATTCCGGTCAAGGGCATGTACCTGGGTTGCGGGCACATCCCCAGTAGAAGATGTGCAGGAGGCAGCTGATCGATGTTTCTCTCTCATCGATGTTTCTAACTCTCTATCTCTCTCCCTTCCTCTCTGTAAAAAAATCAATAAATTTAAAAAAAAACAAAAAAAAAAACCTTGTGTGGCAGCAAAACAATAGTACTGGCTGCCCCTTCACCTGCCTGTCCCCCCACCCCATGCGGCCGCTTCAAAAGTATACATGTAAGTCCTAATAAAGACCTGTCTTTCACATCCAATCCTCCAGATTATTTCTTTGGAATCCATAAACAATATGCTGAGGTTTTCTGGAACCTCAGCATTTTGCATAACAGTATGATAACACTTTGATTATGTAGAGAATGTTCCCATGTTTTAGAAATGCAAACTGATGTATTCAGTATTTACTGATAATACAGCTTTCATAAAAGATTAACTTGTTACTTGGTCCTCTTGTACAAAAGTAAAGCAAGAAAATGCTTTTCCATAATAATAAACACTTTTTTAAATGTTTCACATTAAACAAAAAAATAAACTTACCAGATAGTGTAAGCTTGATAATAATCACCACAATGACCATGCTAAAAGCAAACAATATACAAACATGGAGTGCATTTTTAATCTAGTGTGGTGTTAGCTTTATTTGGAAACACATTTTAGAATTACTGAGACCAAAACAATAATTTGAGGGAGAAAAAAAAAAAAGATGTGCAAGATAGTACTTACCTTTTTTGATATCATTCCGGCACCTGCTTTGCGTTTTAGATCTTGGACTATGCTGCATTCCATTACGATAAACTCCTCTAGCTGTTTGGGATGGCATAAACTATTGAAAGGGTGACTCCAGAAAGTGCTCCCATCAATATCTGCCACTAAGAATAAACACAGATATTAAAGAACAAGAGAAATGAAGTGTTTTAAAAGTCAACAAGTGTTACAAGAAGGAACAATTTGGTATGTACGAAGTGGGAAGCATCAGGTCAACAGGAACAACAGGGGCAACTCACTCTCTAGAGCAGCAGTTCTCAGCATGTGGGTTGCCAACCTGTGGTTCGCAACCCCTTTGGGGGTCATACGACCCTTTCACAGGGGTCGCCTAAGACCATCGGAAAACACATATATAATTACATATTGTTTTTGTGATTAATTACTATGCCTTAATTATGTTCAATTTGTAACAATGAAAATACATCCTGCATATCAGATATTTACATTACGATTCATAACAGTAGCAAAATTACAGTTATGAAGTAGCAACGAAAATAATTTTATGGTTGAGGGTCACCACAACATGAGGAACTGTATTAAAGGGTCGTGGCATTAGGAAGGTTGAGAACCACTGCTCTAGAATCACCATTTAATCCTATAAATCAGCCCAAACTGCTCACAGCACAAGAGACTATCAGGTGTCAAACATTATCTTTAAATAGTTATTACCATCACACCACCACAAGGCTAAGTGACTTTAATATAAGGTCAGATCCCATCAGTTGTATAGTTGTTTCATGGGTTGACATTTTATTTAGGAAACATTATCAGTCATCTTAGGCACTTAATTTATGGAAAATTTATGGAAAAGTTTTACCTGACAGATGTTCATCCCAGTATTATAAAATACCTCTGCCTGATGAATTCTATCTAATTAACAAGGATATTAAATGACTTTCGGGAAAATAGCAAAATAAACTCAATTTTTAATAACAGAAAACTTATATTAGAAATAAAAAGTTGCCGAAACCGGTTTGGCTCAGTGGATAGAGCATCGGCCTGCGGACTGAAGGGTCCCGGGTTCGATTCCGGTCAAGGGCATGTACCTGGGTTGCGGGCACATCCCCAGTGGGAGATGTGCAGGAGGCGGCTGATCGATGTTTCTCTCCCATCGATGTTTCTAACTCTCTATCTCTCTCCCTTCCTCTCTGTAAAAAAATCAATAAAATATATTAAAAAAAAAAAAAGAAAAAAGAAAAAGAAATAAAAAGTGAAAAAGATCAAGAAGTAGGAGATGTAAACAAGTCTTGAGGAGACACCTATCAATATGGGATCTTCTTTAAAAAATAGTTTTTATCACGGAAATGTTAAAAATTATGTATAGTAATGATATTAGTTAAAATTCATATTTAAACTAAATGTTCTACTGAATTACAAAAAGTTAACTGTCCTAAACTTTAATTAGTCGCAAAAGTAAAATGAGGTAAATAAGTCAATTTCAGTAAAAATAAATGGCATATGCTCTGGCTGGTTTGGCTCAGTGGATAGAGCGTCAGCCTGCGGACTGAAGGGTCCCGGGTTGGATTCTGGTCAAGGGCACATGCCCAGGTTGCAGGCTCAATCCCCACTAAGGGGCATGCAGGAGACAGCCAATCAATGATTCTCTTTCATCATTGATGTTCCTCTCTCTCTCTCTCTCTCTCTCTCTCTCTCTCCCCCCTCTTCCTCTCTGAAATCAATAAAAATATATTTTTTTAAAATTAAAAAATAAAATAAATAGCATAACACTAGTACATTTTTAAAAGTTCGCAGAATTATTTCTTCAAGTAAAAAATACAAGGTAACTTATCAAAAGCTTTAAAAATTAGTGTTTTGTAAGAAACAATAGTAAAAATGTTAACTAGTTTTTCAGAATATTATTGAAAAATTTGATAAAATTAACAATATAAATTATTACTGCTTGCCAGATAGAATTGTCAAGGAAAACAGTTCTGGAAACTTACCTTGTAGGGTATTGGGATCTATGAGATGGATGGCACTGGTTACGCGAATACACACACAAATCTGGTTCATATTTCCCAGGCTTTGCGCCAGTTTTGGAGACAGACAAACAACATTATCCTAGGCATAAGAACTAACATTTAGAGTGAAGCTAATCCTAAGTAACAGTCTCAAAAAACACTCATCAATGCATACCTGATCCAAGTGCATTTGCTCAAACTAAAACATTAAATTTTTAATTCTGTGTGTCAACAAAGGGCCTAAAAAGGGAATTTTTAGAGAAGCAGAAAATAAGCTATTACCTTCTTAAAATGTGAATATTTGTCTTAATAAAAATGCTTTAATTTTTTTTCAGGACATATTTATCAAGCTATTAAATTTATTTCAAGTTTATTGAAGTGTGAATGCTTATCACTCTATGTTAACATTGTACACTCTAAGCTAAGTATTAAGCACCAGAAGGAGAGTGATTTTTCTAAATCTAACTGTGACTTCTTTCAATCTCCATAAAAAACAAATTTCAGGGGAGCCACATGTTTCTCTCTCATGGCTACATTAATAATATGCCCCAAACAGTAAACCTCTGTGTGTACATTGAAAAATAATACCAGTAATGGGGGTATCTATTTATAAACTGTATTAAAATATAAAAGAATATGGGTTATATTTTAAGCTGCATCTATTCACAATCATAGGTTTTTCCACTAAAAGGACATCTGTGCATCTTTAACAGTACCTATTCCAGTCCTTCCTTTTTAACTTATAGAGTCTCCAAAGATGAATGAAAATACTACTTTACATGGTGTATGCATCCAGTTATCTGTATGAATCACTCAAAGTACTTTATACACAAGGCCTTAAATATGCCCTAACACCTAGATTTATATTTCCCAGGCTCTGCACCAGTAAAATGTTCAGTTTTAAATCAGGGTTTGCAAAATATGCCCCTCAGGCCAAATTTGGCCCACCGCCCACCTTTATAAATAAACTTTTGCTGGAACACATCTTCAGCCACTCATTTACCTATTATCTATGGCTATCTTATGCAACGAGAGTTGAATAATTGCAAAGGAGGCTACATGGCCTAAAAGTTGAAAATATTTACTATCTGGCCCATTACAGAAAAACTTTGCTAACCCTATTTTAAGCCATCATTTCATCCCTGAAATTGCATTACATTATAAATTAGCGATAACAGCTTTAAAGCTTGAAAGTCACAGACCTAGGTACAAATAAATCCTGGCTTCATCATTTTACAGTTATGTAACTTTGGTCAAGTCATCTAATCCCCAGAAGATTCAATTTCCTCATCTTCAAAATGCTAGTATAATTTACCCCGGTTATTATGAAACATAAAGAGGTGAAATATACTCAAGTACTTACATATTAACTTATACAGAATGCTCAGAATAAATTATGGCACTTATTATTATTAGGGATTTAAATATCAACATATAAGATCCTATATTGCGGAGACCTCTAGAGACATAATCCTTAACACACAGCCTTCTGTACAGTAGATCCTCAATAACTATTTGTTGAATTTTAATCCACTTATGTTTTTAGAAGCAAGTTTTTACCTTAGTACAATTAAATGAAATGATAACCTACACATTTTAAGTGTTATTCATATTATGTTTTTAAATCACAAAAATGATTCTATGGTCTCATTTCTACAATACTGCTTATTTTCATCATGCTAAAATCCAATTTGAACATATTCCAAAGTAGTTCACTGATATTTATTTTAATGTCAATCCCTGTATTCAAAGTTTCATAGAACTGTCATGTGCCGAGACCGGTTTGGCTCAGTGGATAGAGCGTCGGCCTGCGGACTGAGGGGTCCCAGGTTCGATTCCGGTCAAGGGCATGTACCTGGGTTGCGGGCACATCCCCAGTGGAGGGTGTGCAGGAGGCAGCTGATCGATGTTTCTCTCTCATCGATGTTTCTAACTCTCTATCTCTCTCCCTTCCTCTCTGTAAAAAATCAATAAAATATATTAAAAAAAAAAAAATTAAAAAAAAAAGAACTGTCATGTGTCCCAAAGGATCACAAATTTTAAGGAATAAGGACATTAAAAAACTGAGACAGGCCTTTTAATTAGTACACTAAAAGAAAGGGTATGCCAATTTTAAGTGTAATTACTTTTTAAAATCTTTTTCACATGGCTTAGTGTGTTAGAAATCATTTATGAAGGAAGTTATTCTAAATTTTTAACCAACCCCAGAAGGAAACCAAAAGCTAATCATTACATATACACCAATTAATTACTTGTACTCTTTTATAGACTCGGATTAATTAAATAAGAAAAAGTACCTTGCATATTGGAACAATTTCCATAGAAAAAGTGCTTTTGTAATTGTATGTGTTACTATGGATATCTTGAGAGATCAGTCTCTGTGAGGCTTTGTATCTATTAAGAGAAAAAATTAATAGTAATGAAAAGACAAATGTCTCACTTATAAGGTCTCGAAATATCAATTTTCATCAAATCCAACCATCACTGTCAAAAGTCCGAAACAGCTTTCTGATGTCGGCTATGGAGAAGCCTAATTTCATCCACTTACATTTCAAACCTTCACCAATATGACCGCACCCTAACTATTTTCAACTTTATCTACTAAAAACCTACAAACATGTCTTAGGCTCAGACCATTCTAATCCATATGCAGTATCTATTAGAAGGTACACTAATATCCATAAGTCTTTGTTCACACTAATCTCACTTTTCAATATAAACTCTACCTTTGAAAATTTCCCATTTTAGGAGTCCTTCCTCCTCCAGGAAGCTTCTCCCCAAAGCTCTCTACCCTTCTTTCTGTTCTCTTATTTAAAGATATTCAATCAATCGTCTGGCACTACAGTGCTTACCACAGGGTGAAGTCTATATCCCCAAAGTGATTCTTATGTGCTCTTAGGGTAATACTTCCCTTAAAGTGACTAAAACAAATAAATGTTCACTAATTGTGTAAGCATTCCTGCTACAATTTTAAATATTTTAGCATAAGAGAGGTTGTTTCAGTCTGAAGCATGGATATGACCTATATCCACTTCCCACTCGTTGGATTTAATCACATTTAGGTTCAGAACATACCTACAGGGAACTGTACATTGAAGAAATTCTACCATCTTCTGAGCGTGCTGCTTTGAAGAATAATAGAAATCCAGTCCATCTTTAAAAAAAAAACCAAAACATGAAAATAATTCTGCAAAATAAGATTTTCCTCTACTAACATGACTATATAACAAATCCTTTAAGAAAAGCTATTTCTAAACCTGCACTTTAGAGACTAGAATAACAATGTACATGTCCACCAACAGCAAGCACTGTTAGCAAGAAATTTAAGAGTGTGCTAAAGAATATTTATATTTTATTAATTAAAGAAATATTCATCCATAATCTAGTTGTATAAGTATGCTACATCAACAGCAAGTGAAAAGAATATGCTCTAAAGAGCCATTATAAAATTATACAAAAAATTTTAAATTCCATCTTTAAGAAATCTAATTATATCATTTGTTTATCACTATTTATTATTACTAAGTGTAGTCTTCTGATTTAATATATTTACACTAATAAAAGAGAAACATGCAAATTGGCATCATTCCGCTATGCCCACCAGCCAATCGGATGAGTATGCAAATTAAACCAACAAAGATGGCTAACGTAGGCACGGAGCAAAGACTGAAGGCTCCGGCCGGACTGAAGACTGATGATTGAAGAGGCTTGGCTTCTCCGCTGCAACAGCAGCGGAGAAGCCAAGCCTCGCTGTGGCCGGACTGAAGGCCTGGGTCCCAGGTGCCGGAGGAAAACCGGTGCCAGCAGCCAGAGGAAGGAAGGCCTATTGTGCGAATCTCCGTGCAACGGGCTTCTAGTCCATAATAAATGCCACTAGGCATACGAAAAACAACAGAATAACTTAGAGGTCTCAAAAATAACTTTCTTCCCATCAAAAACTGATCTCTGCTTAAAACAAATTTCCAATGAATTTTCTATCATAGCACTTGACAATCTATTAATGTAGTTACTGGTTTGCTCATCTGCTAGCTACTTAGTATACATTTAAATTAAAATAGAAAAAAAATTAAAATTCAGTTCCTCTGTTGCACTAGGCACATTTCAAGTATCCAATAGTCACATATGGCTACTGGCTACATACTGACAGTCCAGATAAAGAACTAAGATTTTTTTTTCTTCCTAACAGAAAGTTCTTTTTAACAGTACTATTTTAGATATTATCAGTAAAAATAAAAGAGTCCTTAGGTTAGCTGAAATAAAATTCTGACATCATTTCAAATGATTTTACATTTTAACTCACCATGAATTTCTTTGATACGAAGTGTATTCTGATGCATTCCATATTTCAAAATTAACTGTTCCAGATAGTAGAAAGTTTTTTTGTGCAAAGTCTAAACATAAATGCATTATTAAATTAATAGATGAAATGCAAAAAAAGAGCTATATATAGATATAGCACACTGATTTTAAAACTAAAATAATTTTTAAAGATTATCTAAAATGCAATAGTGATCTATTTCTAAAGGTGATGCTCCAGGGACTAGCCCTGGTGCATAAAGGATTTGGAAAAAAGGGGAAAAGGAGGTTTTACTAGCTCTTTGTAACTGACGAAGATATACAAACTGGAGGATTCACTCATCATCTTTCATTACCTTTTGCCTAACTTGAACCACAGCCTTCCAGAAATCCTTAGCTTCTACTCTATGGCAATCTCCACACATCTGGGGCTGAACAACATAATCCACCACGAATACTTGCTGAAGGATAGCACCATTCATCACCTGATTTAAAAAAAAACACAAAACAATCATACTCCTTCATCCTTTCCTTTTGTTTAATAACAAATCATTTTCTTAAAAGAGGGCACTTTTAATATGTAACTCAAAATTTTTTCCCATTAATGCTTTGAGAATATCAACAATCACTTTAAGTCATACAAATAAGCTATACTATTTCAAGAAAGATATACAGGTTTAGTTTGTAGTATTTATTACTATATTAACATTTCAAATTTACCTTCAGTTGAAATGGTTGAGAATTTTTTTTACAGAATTTTATATCTATACTAGAGGCCCAGTGCATGAAATTAGTGCACTGGCAGGGTCCCTCCCTTTCCCCAGCCAACCCCACCCCCTGATCAAACTTCCAGAGGAACTCCCGGTCGAGGGGACAATTTGCATACTATGCTTTTATTATATAGGACAGCCTATATAATAAAAAGCTAATATGCAAATCACCCGAACATCAGAACGACCAGTCGCTATGATGCGCACTGACCACCAGGGGGCAGATGCTCAATGCAGGAGCTGTCCCCTAGTGGTCAGTGTGTTCCCACAGAGCCGGGCTCACAGCTGGCGAGGGCAGCGGCAGTGGTGGGAGCCTCTCCCGCCTCCGCGGCAGCACTAAGGACATCCCCCAAGGGCTCCTGGGCTGCAAGAGGGTGCAGGCTGGGCTGAGGGATCCCCCAGAGTGCACAAATTTCATGCACCAGGCCTCTAGTATTTGCATATCTACTTATATAAAAACCCTGGGTGTAACATCACGGCCAGAACCGTGACCAACCAGAAGGAAGTCAATCCTGCAGGGGTTGTCTTGGAAACACAACTGCACCCTCCCCCCGAGCTGTTTCCCGGAGCTATTCCCTGTAAGGGTGGGGTTTGAGGCAGGAACCCGCCCTCGGAGTGTGGAGGCATATCTTTATAAAGTGTGCCGCACCACCACGGCCAACGGTGAACCTGAGTGGGGGCAGCTGAAAGGCTTAGAAAAGACAGACAAGAGAATGAAATCTGGGTCTCGGTGGGACACTGCTTCTCTGAGAGACAGCGACCATGCCCACAGCCGTGTCTTTATTTTATAGCAGATGCCACGAGGCAAAGTAAGGGCATGACCAAGATGTTTACAACATTCTCCTGGGTTTCAATCCTACTCAACTACATGCACCTGAACTCTATCAAGCCTACATCACTCAGGCACGTGGGGCCACGTGTTCAGACCATAGGTTCAAGCTTACAACTACAGCTGTTGGCTATAATTGTGCTAGGAGGACCCTGCCCTCCAAGCTGGGACTTGCATGTGGCAATGAGAGGACTGTGCCCTCTCATCAGTCCAAGGCTTGAACCTGTCCAAAACACTGTAGCGGCTCCCCACAATAAAGTTTTAATACATTATATTAGAGGTTGTGGTAGTACTGTTTTACCCACACCGTCTACAGGAATTGCTGCAAATTTACTTCTCGGTGGAAGAAACTTTCATTCCCAATATAAATGACCAATTCAAGCACTCTGAAAGTGTTTTCACTCTTAATGTGTTATACAGGGAGATATTAGAATAAGTTTAATCAATTTATCAGTCACTGTTTGCATCACTGTTGTTTTTATATCATGTTTTTGTTGTTTTCATATCATGTTTTTGTTGTTTTCATATCATGTTTTTGTCGTTTTTATATCATGCCTCTGTTGTTGTTATATCCTTTTGTTACTGTTTATTTATTAATTTATGTATTATTTTCATATGCATTTTACTAATTTCCTTTCATTTCTCACACTTCTATTATAGAGAAAGGGCAAATGGCAATATTAAAATATCCCCGCTAATTAATTCCCTTTTTAAAAAATATATGTATTTTATTGTTTTTTTACAGAGAGGAAGGGAGAGGGATAGAGAGTTAGAAACATCGATGAGAGAGAAACATCGATCAGTTGCCTCCTGCACACTCCCCACTAGAGATGTGCCTGCAATTAAGGTACATCCCCTTGACTGGAATCAAACCCAGGATCCTTGAGTCTGCAGGCTGACGCTCTATCCACCAAGCCAAACCGGTTTCAGCTTCAATCTTTTTCCTAATAAAAATAACTTTGAGCCCAGCCAGATGGCTGAGCATCAACCTATGAGCCAGGAGGTCACAGTTCAATTTCTGGTCAGGACATATGCCCAGGTTGCCAACTTGGTCCCCAGTGTGGGGGTGAGTACAGGAGGCAGCCGAACAATAGTTCTCTCATCACTGATGTTTCTTTCTCCCTCTCCATTCCTCTCTGAAATCAATAAAAATATATTTTAAAAAGTAATAAAATAATAAACAAATAAATAACTTTGAAAAGATTACCTTATGGGCCCAAGTTGGGGTATTAAGCAAACCAAATAAACTGAGCAGTTAACACAAAAATAAGATTATCTTAGCCCATTAATCATAAGCAATGGTTGCTATTATTAGTGACCCAATCCTCTATGCCAGTGGTTCTCAACCTTCTGGCCCTTTAAATACAGTTCCTCATGTTGTGACCCCCAACCATAAAATTATTTTCGTTGCTACTTCATAACTGTAATGTTGCTACTGTTATGAATCGTTATGTAAATATCTGATATGCAGAATGGTCTTAGGCAACCCCTGTGAAAGGGTCGTTCAACCGCCAAAGGGGTCGCGACCCACAGGTTGAGAACTGCTGCTCTGATTCAAATGATTCAAAAGAAAACAAAAGTTTAAATTAAGAGTGTATTCATGTCCTTTTAAGCTGTTCAAGTCATAAAGTAACTTACCAATAGCCCCTTCATTTTGACTACCTATATTTTAACCATGCTGAGAAAATTATGCACAGCTTACCTCTTTCTGAACAGTTAGTTTAACTTTAAGTCTCTTAGAATGGGGCTCAGTCCAAACAAAGCCTGCATCTACAAGCCGAACCTTCAATAAAACACAAACAGAACAAAACATAAATTACCATGAGGAGAAAAATATGAAAGAACAGTTCATTAACAAATAAATTTCATAAGCTGTTAAAGAAATCTGTAATTAGCATCACTACCCAACCTAACCAGTAAAAAATAAAAATTTATCGTGAAAGGTATGGCAACAAAAACAGCAAATAAAAGGACCATCTGCCCTGGCCAGTGTGCTTAGTGGTTAGAGTGTCAGCCCTCACACTGAAGGGTCACAGGTTCAATTCCCAGTCAAGGGAACATACCTTGACTGTAGGCTCAGTTCCCAGCACCAATCAGGGCACATGCAGGAGGCAATCAATCAATGTGTCTCTCTCACATGGATGTTTCTCTCTCTGTGTCTCTCCCCCTCCTATCCACTCTCTCTAAAAATTAATGGAAAATCATCCTTAGGTGAAGATTAACAAAAAATAAATAAATAAAATAAAGAATGAACATTCATTAGAGGGCTTTTCATGCACTGAACACCGAATCCACAATGATAATACACTACTAAATACACTGCTAAATAAGCAGGATCAGCAGAGACCAAGAACAGTTTGCTATGTGAGAAACTGAACGTAGACCAATATTGCTAAAATGGGTATTTTAAAGAAGGAGGTGATTGAACGAGAGGCAGTTTCAATAATTTGGAAGTTGTAGGTGAGCTGAACTGAGAGATGCTGAAAATAACAGAAAAAGATCCAAGAGCTATTCAGTAGATAAAATCTATAGGATTTAATTACTAGATATGGAAGGAAAAAAAGAGCATTCTAGAATAATGCTCAAGTATCCAGCTTGGGCATCTAGATAAAGCTATTTTTCTGACACAAAAAATCAGATTTAATAGGGAGAAGATGCTACATTTGGTTTCTGACATTTGAGTTTAAGAGGATTTATCTATGAGATGTTCAAGTGAAGCTGTTCAGTAGATAAGACATTTAGTCTGGAGCTCTATGGAGAAATCTGAGCTCTAGACAACATATTTGGGAGATATCGGTGGCAGGTGATAATTTAATCAAGTCCTGGCTGGTGAGAGCTAGATTAGCTAGTATAGCTGCAGCAATACAGAATATATTGAGGTTTTACTGTACACAAAAAACTGACTCCAAAAATAAAGGAGACAAGTCAGAAAATAGAAAATAAATTTTAAAAAAACCTATTAACAAACCCTCAGTAAAATTCAAGAACAGAATGCATCAAGACTGAAGCTTAAAAATATTACTACTGGGGGGAAAAATCAATACAAAGACAGGAAGATAAAGTAAAGAAAACTGCCAAGAACACAGGGAAAAAAAGACAAAACAGTACAACATAAAGATTTAAAGGAATACAAAAGGAAAAAGACAAAGTTTAGCAATGGTTTTATACAAATATTTCCCAAGAAATTAATTGCATGTAAGAGGTTCTCCATAAATAATGAATGACAAATTTGATTGTATATTAAGTCTTTCAAAGCAGGAAGATTTTCACTTTCATAAAAAGAATATATGTAACTTTAAAAATGAAACATTTGTGGTAGAGTACTTACCAACAGTATCATTTAATAGTTACTTTTGAAAAACCTACTTACACAAGGATTTTCCAAAAATGAGATATTAAAAAGGTATTATTACAAAAAGGTAGCTATTTGACCTACCTTACTCAGAGGGGCTTTGATTTTTTTCAAACACAAAGCAAGAAGTTCCCTGGATTCTAATGCACATTGTATCCAAGTTCCTGGTGGCTGGAAATATCTGAAAGAGAAGATAATATACTGAAACCCAGCCTTTCTCAAGGAAAAACAAAAAATTTCCATCAATATGCAGATATAATACTGATTATTAACAGATATAATAACCCAGGGCTGATCTGAAGCACTTATCCCAAATATACTTTAATAGTTCTAGAAAACTTCCAATTAGAAGGGTAGCTTTAGTTAAAAAGGTAAAACTCTGGGTATTTGCAAAAGATAATCTAAAATAATCTATTAAAGAGGTCTTATTCTTCAAACACCAGTAAGAGTTCCAGTGAGGATGACAAAATGATCAAAAGTTCCAAGAATCTCAAAATGGCCTTAAAATGATTTGTAGCCCTAACCGGTTTGGCTCAACGGATAGAGCATTGGCCTACGGACTGAAGGGTCCCAGGTTCGATTCCAGTCAAGAACATGTACCTTGGTTGCAGGCACATTCCCAGTAGGGAGTGTACAGGAGGCAGCTGATCAATGTTTCTCTCTCATCGATGTTTCTAACTCTCTATCCCTCTCCCTTCCTCTCTGTAAAAAATCAATAAAATATATATTAAATAAATAAATAAATAGATTTGCAATGTACTTGTATAATGTTAGGGAACTGCTTATTTCTCACACTAAAAAGGTAAATTAGTACCACATACTATGTACCAATATAGTTCAGACTATCATCTATTTCAAGTCCCTTTCCAAATTTTAACTGTAAAACTCAAGTTTTAAAATCTTTCATAAAACCTAAGTTAAAATTAAAATCCCTTATGCATGTGCTTTAAGTTTTTTAGCCCAGCCCACCCAGGACTTACAACCATGCCCAGCACATATTAAGTGCTCAATAAATGCTCGTTAAATTAATGTGCTATGCAAATACTTTTTTTGCTACACTTTTAAAGATTCATTCAAAAATGTTATACAGGTCCCTTTGTTGTAAGCATGTTTTCAGTTAGAAAGGGCTTCATATATCTATACATATAAAAGCCTAAGCGACCAGTCAACTGTTCGCTATGACACGCACTGACAACCAGGGGGTAGACGCTCCGACCGGTAGGTTAGCTTGCTGCTGGGGTCCGGCTGAAAGCTAACCTGATCGTGCACCGGTAGGGTCCCTCAGCCTGGCCTGTGCCCTCTCGCAATCTGGGACCCCTCGGGGATTTCGGAGAGCCACAGGCCAGCCCTAGGGACCTCACCGCCACCAGTGCTCATGCACCGGGCCTCTAGTCATCTAATAAAGCTCCTTCATTCTGATGAAGAAATTAAGGCTTAGAGTGATTCATTGGCCAAGAGTTTCAAAAAGCTAGTTTGTGAGAAACCCAAGGCAACTAGGTATCCTGATTCTTTGTCCAGTGCTTTTCTCATTCCACCATTCTTTTAAGAATAGCAAATATTTATCATACATTTAGCCTCACACTTGCAAAGCTTGCAAACTGTAAACCCCGAGACAGCACAAACTTTCATGTATTTATATATGTACACATTTTAAGTATTTTGCTTGGGAGTTACATTTTTCAAATTCTCAAAGATTTGTAACCCCTCCCCTCCAAAAAAGTTAAGAACTACTATAATCCTAATCCATTTGGAAAATCAAAGGCATATAATTTTTACGAACAGTCTCATTGGGCAGGTTTGTGTTACTCAATGGCCTACTAGATAGATATACGTGGTTTATGGCAACAACTAAAGTGAATAAGAAGGAATATGAACATTAATTTTCAGGTGTTCAGCCTTCAAATCCAGTTTCATTTCAGACCATTCCAGATATGATTTACTGAGCTTTTTCCCCCATCAACTAGTCATTTTAGATACATGGGAACATTTATAGATGTAATTTTTAAAACACATTGCTAAATTACTAAAAATATAAGGTGCTTTTTTAGCTTCTAGTGACTAAGAGGGGAAAAACTACCATGATAATAATAGTATGTCCTTAAACTGTTCACACCCTTACAAACATCAACTCGTTATATATTAAGTGTATACATCAAACCCACTAATCTCTGAACATAAAAATAACAAATTTATATACCTTTACACATCTTTACCAGATTAGCAGGGAAAACTAAGAAGTACACTATAAAATTGCAAATTCTAAAATTTTTGGCAACACTGACATAAATAAAAATTAATTCTCAATTACATGCACTCTATTCATGTACCTCGGTAATCCTAGCACATCCTGGTTGCTCTCCTATATATAAATCTCAGCCCTAAGTAGGATGAATGGTATCGCACCATACCTTTGGCATTGTTTGCAGAAAGATACAGAGACCTGTTTCGGGATGCCTTGGCTGATGTCTACTTTACTTCGCAGACAGGCCACACAAATGTTGGCTGGATTTGGACTAATTACAACACCACATTCGCAGCACAAGCTTAAATAAAGAAAGCATAAAGTTTACAAATGGGATTTCACAAATGCACTGGTTACGTTTTGAAAACTATCAAACAAATAAACAAAAGCCTTCAAGTTAGGCCCATAATATTTCTGCCCTAAAAGCAGCAAATAAGAAAAAAAAAAGCCATCTTCAAAGAGGCAATAAACGTTGGCCTGCGGACTGAAAGGTCCCAGGTTCGATTCTGGTCAAGGGCATGTACCTTGGTTACGGGCACATCCCCAGTAGGAGGTGTGCAGGAGGCAGCTGATCAATGTTTCTAACTATCTCTCTCCTTTCCTCTCTGTAAAAAATCAATAAAAAAAATACACACACACACACACACACACAGAGGCAATAAAGAACAACCTGGAATACTGAGGTTAAAAAAAAAAAATCAAGGATGGCCAAAATTCCAAAAAGCCTCAAAATATATCCAAAGGGTATAGAGTCTGAATTATGTCTAACGTCCTCGGATAGCATCATAGTCCAAAGACATTTTTTTTAAAGCTTCGGCATAGCACAGGGACTGCCGAAATGTAAACATTTACCCAGAGCAGAAAATTTTTACAGGCTGCAAAGAGCAGCAAGTCTAGTGAGTCCATGTAACTGATGAGAGTGTCGGGGTCCTGGATGCACTGGGCGCAGAACATGTTTAAGAATCACTGGTGACGCCCTAAACGGTTTGGCTCAGTGGATAGAGCGTCGGCCTGCGGACTGAAGGGTCCCAGGTTCAATTCCAGTCAAGGGCATGTACCTCGGTTGCAGGCACATCTCCAGTGAGGAGTGTGCAGGAGGCAGCTGATCGATGTTTCTCTCTCATCGATGTTTCTAACTCTCTATTCCTCTCCCTTCCTCTCTGTAAAAAAATCAATAAAATATATTTTAAAAAAAAAAAAAGGAATCACTGACAATGTCCCAAAGAAATGTCCTGTAACCTGTGATGCCATGTTTGCAGGCACACGTGACTACTGAGCACTTGAAAAGTAGCTCAGCACGAAAAAACAGCGTTTCTCACAGTAAGTTTCAGACTCACGTTAACATCGTTACATTTAAGGGGATGGAGGAACGGGGCGCGACTCACATGTGTCCGGGGGTGCGCTCGGCGGAGTCCTCCAGGTACTCCATGGCGCTGGTGCCCGATCCTAAAAAGAAAGAGCACATCGTGGCACCTGTCACTGGTCCTGCACTTCTTCACACACACCTTCCTCCTGCCTCTCTGATAAGGCAGCCAAGCCCGTAAAGCAGCAAGAAAAACCAATTCTACTTGGTAACTCTGAAAGCACTTCTTTAATATGAAAACCAAGGAATTCCGGAGTCGCCCGTCTGCGAGACCCTCTCGGGCCCCTCAACGCGGCCGCGGACCCGACGTGTCACCTGGGCGCCCACGCCAGCGGCCCGGGCCGCTCCGGGCACCCCCCCCCCCCCCCGCCTCGGACCCCAGCCGCAGGAGCCACCGGGCGGTGTCACTGCGCCGCGGGCCACCCTCCCGGACCCGCAGGAATCCCCGGGCGGTGTCACTGCGCCGCGGGCCACCCACGCCCCCGGACCCCGCACCCCGCATCCGCCGCTGAGACCTCGGATGAAGACCCGCAGCGAACACGCGGCGCGCACGCGGCCAGAGGCCGGCCGAGCCCGGGGGGTGCGCCCCACTCTCGCCCCGGAGACCGCGCCACAAAAGCCTGGGACTCGGCTCCCAGAACCTACTTAGTTCCTACGGGCAGGACCCAAACGTCTCAAAAGCCGCAACAGAACTATGACCCGTCACCCACCCCAACGGCCACCGCGAACCGCCCGGTACAGGGAAGATCTCGCGACAGAAGGATCCAATTCTCGCGGCCGAGAGTTGAGAGTTAAAGGGCTGGTGTGGGCGGAGAAAGGGGCGGGCACAGGCGAACAGCGGGGCGGGGCGAGGGGCGGAGAAAGGGGCGGGCACAGGCGAGCAGCGGGGCGGGGCGAGGGGCGGGGCGAGGCGAGGGGCGGGGCAGCTGCGAGGATCCTGGAGGAAAGGCGGGGTTGCACCATCCAAAGCTGCTTGAGACTTAGCCCTACTTTCCAACTCTCCTGTTGGGGTATCTTCCTTACTGATTTTCTCGGGCCCCAGTTAACTCCAACCCAACCTCGCCCACTTTTCAGATATCCGGATTGGGAGCTTGCTTCTTGGTGAAATAATTATATAAAAGCTATCTGTAAACAGTGTCACATTACACAAAGGAATTAAACTCCATGGAGGAGTGCCTTTGTTTATTGTGTTCACCACCATAAGCCTAATGCCTGCCTCATCCTAAATGCTCAAATGGATATTTGTTGAACAGATGAAAGGAACAATGTAAGGCATAATTATTTGAGAAGTCTATGCTGTTTTTAGGCCACTGTAATTATGAGAATACACTTCCTAAGAGTCCACTTAATGTTTCCTTATAACTTTATTCCTTGAGCATAGAGCAGAACAGACCATGTCTATCCACTCTTTCCCATGACAGAGTTTCAAATATTTGAAGAGCACATTCATATTTTTTCCCAAGTGTTCTCACCCAAATTTCAAGGGAAAAGCAAGATCATCTTACAGCAGATAATCAAAGAAGTTCTCTCGTCATTTCTTGCCCAGGGTACTTAAGAAGTCTCCAATTCATTATTTTTTTTTTCCAGACTCCAATCCATCCTTCTAAAATGCAAATCTGATTTTGTCACACTTCCCTGCTGTTAGTCCTCCAGTGGTCTCTGATCACCTCCTGAATTATTTCCAATTTTCTGCGTAGAAAGACCTTTCAGGATCTGACCCTGACAAATCCTGTCACATTTCTAAGCACACAGCCCACAAGAAGCTCCTCGCAAGAACTGGTCTACCTTGGTTTATGCCTGGGACACTCCACCTTAAAGATTAAGCTCGAGCATCCTATGTTCGTTTCCTATTGCTGCCATAACAAATATCACAAATTTTGTGGCTTAAAACAACACAATTTTATTATCTTACAGTTCTGGAGACTATAGATCTAAAAATAGATGCTCCTCCTCCTTTACATATGGTTGTATAACATCTTGATAGGTGGTATATGCCTCTATAGCAGTGCTGGCAACATTAAATTGGATAATACAGGTTCTTTTCTGCATGTTCCATGGGCTCAAACTACCGGAGAGCAGTTTGAGCCCTTCGTTATTCACTGAACCTAACAAAATGCCTGGCACAAAACACACCCTCAGTGTATCCTGGCAAATAAATTATCCATTTGATAAAAACTCACAAGAGACAGTGTTCTTCTTATTTATTTTTTTCATTCACATTGTCATTTCCCTTAAGTCAAATACCACTAGAAAGACTACTAGTTAGACAGATTGTGTTTATTATTCATTGAAGTAAGTGCAAACAGACCATGAGTAATCCTGGAGTGTTTTAGTAAGAGGCTGGTAGGAAAAAAATTATCATAGGTTTGGCAGGGTGACTTAGAGAAAGTCTAAGAAAGCAAGAATTTGCTGTGGATTAGATGTAGTCAGAAAGCAGGGACAATTTCTATTATTGGAAATCTCAATAAATCTTGTGAATAGGAAGAGAGGCAAAAGAATAAAGCTGCAATTGGTAAAGAAGTAGCAGTTACTCCTTTCGGCCAAAAGAGGGAGTAAGTGTCTGGAATTGTGTGAGTAGCACAGAGAGCTGGTATTTACTTATGCTCAGACAAAATTATGCAGTGGCTTTGCTTTGTCTTGTTTTATCATGGTCTCAGAGTAACCTTATCTGAGGTTGGTACTCTATGACATTTTTTATGCCCAACAGGAGAGTAACGTGGTCTACCTGTGAGTTTAGGCCAGCCTCTGAATGTCCAAGGCAGCTCTTTTTTTCTTTCTCAACATACTCAATACCCTATTTGATGTGGCACCAAGAGCCACAGTGCCAGGTTTGTTAGGCACTGGATGTACAACAGGGAACAACACAGACTTGGTCCCTGCCATCATGGAGCTTACATTTTACAGGTGAGGCTGATATTCCAAAAGACTGGGTACTTTGCTGAGAGTTCTGCAGCAAGTGAGTGCAGGACCAGGAGCTGAACTATAGTTTGTCTATCTCTGTACCTGGCACCGCCCGCGTCCCCGCCACCCACGCCTGATTCCCCGTTTGCCATTGGGTGATTGAAGGCTGTTGGCTGGGGGGAGGGACTGAGAGGTTGGCCATTCCGCCCGCTCGCTGGCCCCGTCCCCACCATGGGTTGTCCTCGGTGTATGGGGCAGGTGGTAAGGTGGGGGCCTTGGCCTGGCACCACCCAAGATACTAGTCTGGTTCCCTATTCGCCATCGGACGATCGGAGCCTGACGGCCAGGGAAAGGGACTGAGAGGTGGTCAGTGCACCTCATAGTGACTGGTTGAGTGGTCGTTCTGCTGTTAGGGTCAATTTGCGCATTACCCTTTTGTTATATAGGACTAGAGGCCCGGTACACAAAATTCGTGCAAGGGGGAGGGGAGTGTCCCTCAGGCCAGCCTGCACCCTCTCAAATCTGGGACCCCTAGGGGGATGTCCGACTGCCAGTTTAGGCCTGATCCCTGTGGGGGCGACCATCTTGTGCGATGGTGTGATGGTCAATTTGCATATTACCTCTTTATTATATAGGATAGAGGCTCAGTGCACTGGTGGGGACCAGCCAGCCCTGCCTTGATGGGGGCCCCGGATTTGGGTAGGGGTCCCCGCTGGGGGCGGGGCAGGCGAGGGTGAGGGGCTGCAGTCGTTCTGGTCTCTGGTCATTCTGGTCATCCTGCCATTTCGGTCACTGGGCTTTTATTAAGTAGGATTCTTGAAATGACAAAATTAAAGAGCTGGAGAATGGATTAATGGTTGCCACAAATGAAGAAAGAGGCAAAGGGCAGGAAAGAATTCAGTGTAGCTATACAAAAGCAACATGAAGGATCCTAGTGATGATGGAAATGTTCTGTATTTTGACTGTATCCATGTCAATATCCCAGTGTGGTCTTGTATTATTGCTGTAAAAGATGTTGTCTTTGGCGGGGAACAGGTTAAAGCATTCAGGAACCTCTCTGTTTTGTCTCTTACAATGGTATGTGAATCTACAATTATCAAAAACTTTTTAAAAGTTTGATTTTTTCAGATGTAGGGTAAAGTTTCCTGTTTAAGGAAAGCAACTCCCTGGTTTTATCTTTTGTAATTTTTTTCACAAGGCTTTAACACTTTGGTCTTCATCCTTGGTTGGCTGGTTAACCCCATCCACATTACACTTCTCCCCAGCCTCCTCGGCAGCAGGTTAAAATGGGAAGTATATTGGGCAATCTTCCAGGAAAACTTTAGCTTTCTGAACAAAAGGGCACAGACTAGGTGGGTTTGCCATTTTGCTCTCACTCTTTGCTCCTTTGCCTTTTGCCTGCTTTCTGTCTGGAATGCAAATGTGATACATGGAGGTACAGCAGCCACCTCCTGACTATAGGCAACAAGCAATAAAGGCAAATGCCATTGTGATGATGTCACAGAGAGCTAGAAAGAGCCATCCACTTCAGAGTTCTACCTATTTAAGGAGAAAAAAAGCCACTTTATTGGTTTAAGCCACTGTTGGCCAGGTTTTCTATTAGTTGTAACACATTTCTAATGGACTCCTCACTCACAGGAGATTCTCGGCAAGGCTGATAAACGTTGCCTATCAATAAAACTATCTATTGCAAGGATGAAAAGCATGATAACTACTTAGTATTCTTTGTGTGTTTCAGGAACCAAATTGCTGTCTTTTCCTTTCCTCTTTCTCTACAGTATTTTGTGTCTCATTCCCCTCAGCTTGGCCTGAATGTGTATTATAATCAGTCTCTCGCTCTCCTAATTGAATTGGGCTTTTGTTGTAGCCAGCTCAGAATTTTTTAAAGGTCTTCCTAAACCATTCCAGCCCTGGGCAGTCGCTCCCTTTTTCGACCTCACAGTACTTAGTGTCTGCACCTCCGAATTGCAATTCATCATGCACTGCCCTGTGACATTTCTCTTACAGCTGTCACAGAATAATCGATGTGTAGTGCTGGAGGGGACATTAAAGATCATCTTCTCCAGCCACCTCAATGCATGTGAATTGTAACTTAACTCCTGGATTTTTCTTATCTCTTCATGGGTTTACAGTTTATCATCCCAACTAGATTTTAAGGTCTTAGAGCAGTGGTTCTCTTCCTAATGCCGCGACCCTTTAATACAGTTCCTCACGTTGTGGTGACCACCAACCATAAAATTATTTTCGTTGCTACTTCATAAATGTAATATTGCTACTGTTATGAATCATAATGTAAATATCTGATATGCAGAATGTATTTTCATTGTTACAAATTGAACATAATTAAAGCATAGTGATTAATCACAAAAACAATATGTAATTATATATGTGTTTTCCAATGGTCTTAGGCGACCCCTGTGAAAGGGTCATTCAACCCTCAAAGGGGTCGCGACCCACAGGTTGAGAACCGCTGTCCTAGAGTCAAAGAAATGTTGGCAACTTTTGATTCTATTCAATAAACCAATTGTATTTTTATTTTTCATCTGCCACATTCCATATTTTCATCTGAGCCTAGCAGATTTTTTTTTTTTTTACAAACTGGAAAATATTTAATTCATTCTAAAAAAATTCCAAGAAGGAAAAAGGATGCTACTGGCTTCATGCTCTTATTCCTAGAATCCTGAAGCTTTGAGGCTTAGAAGAAATGATCTTGTCCTCCAGATACTCATAGCTACTCAGAAAGAAATTACATAATCTGTGAAGGAGTCCTGGCCTGCTGAAGCTAGAGGGGAGCTAGACAGGAAGGAGAAAGAACATCATCTACAATAAACTGACCAAAGTCATCCCAGGCAGGTGGGCCCTCTGATGCTCTGGTGTGAACCAACACCC